CAGCTCCTTTTCGTTATTTTAGGCGAAAAGGCAAAAACAGTTTGGCAAAAACTTTTAAGCCCCAAACGGACTTGTGGTCGCCCAAAGTGATGACAAAAAAAAACATACTATATATATATATATATATATATTTTGATATGCAAACGACAAAACACCTTTAACAGTGATTTGATGGAAAGCTAAAATACTTGAATATAGCTCTTCAAAAACTTTTTCAATTTCTTTAATCTTCCAACTCATTCCAATTTATGTAGTTGAGCTGCATAAATTTCACTCCGCCCATTTTTGTTATTCCTTGCAAGAGGCTTGTAAGTCAAGTATCTCACCCACTCAATTGATTGATGGCAGCCACAGGTGTTTGCTGTGAGTAGATATGCCTAACTTGCCCGTGTGTATGATGAATTACTCAAATTACCCCCCTTCCTATATTTATTCAGTATCTCATTGTATTATTTTTCCTGTATTGTCACGCAACGTATAGGAGCTGTCAATAAGCAAATGGCCGCCATAAATCTCATATGGATATATGTATATATCTTGCATCGTTTTACTCATAATCAAAAAATATGCAATAGCGACTTTTCCGCTGTGTTATTTCTACTTTATATAAAACTCATTCATATAAGTGACAGATTGTGTCAAATAGTGGCCTGACATTGTTGACAATTTTCCGGCTTGTTCCACTGCTGACAATTTAATTGAAATGTTATTTTTTCCCCACAGGACGGATATTGTAATGCCAAAAAACCACATGTAATATTTGACCTTTCGGTGTATATACGTGTAAAGACAAGTGCAATGTTGTAAAGAACTGTGCGTATACTTAATATTATTTATTATTTTATTGCAATTATATTAAAGCTGCAATTACTTAGCATATTCTTTAATAATACAGAGAAAAAGTAACATGCTGACCAAAAACATTCCTTTAGAAAGAATTTAATGATAAATCCTAAACATATTTTCCAATTTGATCTGCAGCCTCAGTAGTTAAGCACAAAGTTAAGAAACTTTACCACTCTTCTTAATATCTTAACAATTGTGCATTTTCAAGCATAACAGTCTTCACAATACCAACTCGTGAGTCACGAAACTAAAATCGACTGTCAAGCAACAGCATCAAATAAAAACAAAATAAAACATCCAACTGAAAAGGAAAAAAGAAAACAAAGTTGGCAAAGACTAAATACTCTTCCAGAAACATAATACTTGTTCGAAATAGTACAATAAAATTCTGCAGAAATTATGTATTTTAGATAGAAAAAAAGGATCTCTCAGATCTAGAATAAATTATTTAACATAAAACACAACAAAGTGTATGGTTCCGATCAATTTTCTTTCTTGACATGAATGAGAATACTCTCTCCGAGTATATGCAAAATATTTCATTCTACCAAATGTAGCGTAAAACTTTCCCATTTATAAATCACAAAAACTTTCAATTTTCCTTGGTTTTTACGGTAACTGCTGCTTGGAAAGTTACTGTGCCATCGGCTAGACGAGAACCATTCAAATAAAGAGGAAAGAAACTTTTTATACATTGGCAGCTGTAGATAAAAATGAAACTTCAAACTAAATAACACAAATTGCTGAAAAACAACATCCAAGGAATGTGAATACTAAATATAAAATGTACCAAAGTTTATTTAAAATTTATATTTTAGTACAACCATTTTTGCAGAGCTTATTGTTTGAATTTATTATGGCAAATGATTTATCTAATGTAAAATGTCATTGTATCTAATGTATTTGTGCATTAGAGGCAGCAGTTGCACATTTTCCCTTTTTACAAATTTTTCCAACTTTTTTGTCCACCTGCGAATGCTGATAACAATTTTTATAGTTGGCACTTTGCCAATGGCAGCCACAGAGCAAGAATAATAGCAATGAATTACGGTTAGCAGCAAAAAAAAATATATAAATATGTTACTACATTTAGGGAAATTGCAATTGGTGGATAAATGACAAAACATAAAAAAAAATGTGAAAAAATAATAAAATCGCAAATGCACACACATGCACCCTGACTAAATTGTGTTTAAACTATTACAAACGATCAATTAGATATAATTGAGCCTGCAATATGAATTATTTATGACAACACATGTGAGCTAATGTGTATGTGTGTCTCGCCCCGACCAAAATGGCAGACCTAAATATTAATAATGTCAAAGCACAAGCACACACACTCCTAGAGACAGATAGAGACAGCTGCTGAGAAGGACACATAATTGTTTTCGTTGCCTCATTAAGAGCCCGGACTTCAGCAAAAGGAACAGTGTTCATTTGGTCAGGGCACAGCATGAGATTATAACGATTATTCACTTTAATAGAAGTTACACACAAGCTCGATTTATGTCTTTTAAAGCTTGGTCACATAATTATAGTATTTAGTTGCCACAACAAAATCGTCGATCAATCCTTGCCGAAAATTTAATTTGAATCTTTTGCTTGACATCATAATGAGAAAAATCACATGTTATACGTTGTATTAGTTTTATTTCCATAACGTTAAATTGAATAACAAATTGAATAACACACATGGTGTAGCTGCTTAATAGATTGTGATTTATAAATAATTAAGAGACAGCATAGAAACAGATTTCAAGTAAATAGCGTATATGTATATTCGTATAAATATATATATAAATAAGATGGATAGCCTTAAGATCTTCCTTATGGTATCTTCTGGTTCAGCACGCCCTTATTTCGCATTGTTATTTGTTAACCAAACCAAATTGCTTTAATTGCATGCGCACGCAGGCAATATTCATTTGAGAGTTATTTTCCGCCATTCTTTAATGGCCTTTAATTGAAACTTTAGTGAAATATAAATTGATATTTAATTTATTTCAGCTGCAAATAAATATTTAAATTAATTAAAAACAAATGTATATATTTAAGCTGGCACTGTAATTATAAGGTACCAGCAAACGGACACCAGCTTTATAAGCAGCCACTCATTTAACGTAAAGTTTGTCGGTAATTAGTTAGCTTAAATTAAAGTCTACTCCCCCACCCACCCGCAACCATCTCCACCCATCACTATATAGCACAATTTTGTTGCATTTCTTTCCTCATGTGCAGCTGTCACTTTTAAAAAGTTGCCATCACCTCACGCTGCAAATTTGGCGCATAATTCGTAGCTCTGTATAAAATTTAATTAAGACGCTCGAAAGTTTTTCACACTTTGACACAAGCCCCAAGCATATGCACTAGCCCCAGCAACTGGCACCGCTCCGCCCAAGTCCATGCCCCCTGCCCCCACCCCCACCCGCTTGTCCCATCGCCGCAATCTTTCCCGATCTTCATGGTTGCAGTCGGTTAGCTCCAGGGGCGTTAAGGCAACTACTTTACTTTGGCTTTGGCAAAACTTTCGCATTTGGCCAGACCGCGCGCACCATAATATTGCAAACTGTGAACTGGCAGCGAGTAAAATTATGCGCCCTGCTGAGCGCTTTGTTAATTATGCTGCCAGATCCCACAGTTGCAGTCGGGGCCGCTGCAGCAGCTATTTTCCGCTGCTTGCTGCTACTTCCTGCCAGTGTTGTTTAGCTTTCTTAGCAACCGCAAAACTTTTGTTGCACAATTTGCGCTTAAACAAAGCCAAAACAATTTAATTGTCGCTAGCAAAGAGACAAGTTTCCTATCGGATGGCAAATGCTTGGGTCATGCTATATGCTGTATAGATTATGCTATCAGAAACCCCAATCGAACCCTTGACACTTTCGCCACCACAACATAGAAGCAACAACTGGCGTTTGGCTCTGTGATGCGACCAAAAATGCAATCTCTGCACTCTTTCGCCAGCTGTGTTTTCGGCACTTGTCTTTTTTATCTAACATCGTAACCCACAAATTCACTCAGCAAACCATGTTCTGTCTTTTTATATACATAGCCTTTTGTGGGATTGTGGGGCAGAACATCGATGTATTCTCCGGCTCGCTAATGAGCAAGGGCATTAAAGCAAACAGCAGTTGCAGCTGCACCGGCAACTTTTGATACATGTCCTGGACTCAAGCCAGCGGCGACAATAAAAACCACTTGTAATTGATTTCTAGGCATTGCTTAGCGCTAATGTTTTAACAAGGACAATCTTGAGGTTGCTTTTTCTTCGCAACGTTTTTTCATTTTATTTTTATTTTTGTTAGCACTTTCGAAAAGCCAGCGTGTTCGACTTTGGTACAACACGCAGACTGCGAAATAAAAGTCCTTTCAAATTTAAAAATGCCTAAGAGCGTCACTTTGGCAATGCGCCAAAGCGCAAGACGTTGCCCCACAACTTTGTGTGCGCTGAAAGGGGATGCGATAGGAGCGGGGAAAAGCAGCCCAGCTTCTGCTAAAAGGGCAGAAAAATGACTGTGCTAGATGAAGGTAGAGGGGGTGGGGACGCATGGGAGAATGTTACAACTACTGAAAACTTGTTATCTTAATGGATATTTTGTACTTCGTTTGTGGTTTAAATTGACTCACTCGGCCGTTCGCTCGCTTTTCCCGCTCGCTAGCTGTTTGCCTCCAGGCGCACATAGCGAAAAACTACTAGAAAGGAAAAAACAATCTTCTTTCTCCTTTTTTTTTTTTTTTTTTGTGCGCCTCGCGGTGCTGTTGCTTTATTTGTTGAATATGTTTTTTGGCCAACGAAGTTGTCGTGCTGTGTAACTAGTATATAAGTAAATTCAATATTTCACTAGGCTTTTAGGGTTTAGTTTTTTTGTAAAAACATTTAAGTAAATGTTGCTGCTATATTCAATCAAATTAAATTCACGATCCGTCCCACAATACCCACCTAATGCTAATCAAGCTACAATCCACTTAAACTTAAGTAAAATCAATTAAATATTTCTAATTAGATTACGACAAAAGCGTTGACGTCGCGACGTCTTGAATTTCAAACAGCAACAGTGACTGCTAAAATTTAATTATGTAAACGTTGATTTCGGGTATGTGGGCGTTTACTATTGGAAAGTTAATTTAATTAAACTTTCAATGTCTGACAAATAAGTAAAATATTTGCGTGAAGCTAAAAATCAAAATGGATTCCTGGGCAGCTTAATGCAAAAAGGACTATTAATAAACGGAGTGTTTTGAGTTATATGGGAAACTGTTAAGCTAGAAAGTTTCTTAATTGAATTTGATTCCAATGCGAGTGTGCCACTTCGAGTAAAGTATCTCAATAATTAGCACGAATATTGTTATGCCATAGCTAATTAGAAGTATCATCAGCGCCGAGCTTACAGTATCCATATCAACCTATAAATAGTGGTATTAATTTAATGTAATTAAAAAACTGTGAACTACTCACATGCAAATCCGAGGTTTCAATTTTCTTCACACAGGGCGGCTTCGCCGTGTGCCACACATTGTAATGATATGCAAATATGCCAGTTTCCGTAATACGTCGCCAGCTTTTCACAAATTTTGAGTTGTTTTTTTCAAAATATTTTAATATCTCAACTTTTACTCACCCGTATGAAATGACCTTTCGCATGGGTGAATTCTTTTGGGATATGGCCACCGTTTTCTGCGGTGGAAACATGCTGATCTCTGTAAGATCGCAAATATCACGCTCGCTAAAAGTGTCGGCAATTGTTTTATAGGCAACAGCAACATCCATATGAAAAGCAAAACCTGTAATCAAAGATTAATCCTAAACGAACACGCATACTTGAAGTGAAACATACGTTCATTTTTGACACGTTGCAAGCCCGTTTCAGGATCCATCCAATTGGTTGCCGCATTTTCCTTGGCATGCGCTCCCACCTCATGACTGTGTACAATATCACGATAGGCTTTAGCTGAAGCACCGCTTGACGCTCCGTCCGCATCCTCAGGAGTGGACGGCTGTCCCTGACCGCCGTCAGGGACAGCACTAGGCGCCTCAATTTCTTTGTTAGTTGGCACTTGGGTAATTTTCTTGGCATATATCTCCATGGATACAGGATCTTTGGTGTTCTGTCAATAGCAAATAAGTAAGTACATAGTAGTTTCGTCCTGCCTACTTCTCTGATTGCTTACCAAAAAATAATCGCGATTATAGAGAACATCCTCGACGCCCACCTTCAGCGAACTCTGCACCAGATCTTTCAGAGTCCTTATGGTCTTAGGTTTCTCCATGAGTAGTGTTCCCACAATACTCGCCGAGTAGAATTGAAAGATGCAGAAGGAGAACAACAGGCTGGTTATAACAATTGTGCGACCCGACATGAAGTTAGTGGAAAAACCCAGACCCTGCTGGCAAATAATGCCCACAAAGAACAACACAGACTCCATAAAAAGACCCTGTCGATTAGATACAGTAGCCAGTGCCTTGCGTCTTCTGATGTAGTTTCTTAATCTTGCAAAGCAGCGCTGCCAACATCTACCCTCAACAGGTTGCAGCTCCAGTGAGACAAGGGATACATGGGAAACAGGACGTGCCTCCACCTGCTGCTGTTGTTGCTGCTGATGATGTTGTGGTGCACCGCCCTTTGGCTTAATCAGCGCAGCACCCTGCTGTGGGTTAAGTTTACCCTCGATGGTTGTGAGCAGCCAAAGTATAAGCACAGTGAAAACCCCACACACCAAAATTAACATCCAAACATCGTCCGTAAATGGCTGTAGGAACACAATTCGATCCTTTTGCGTACTACGGGGATGCCTAAAGATAAAACACGGCCGACTTGACCAACTTTGACCAGATGCATCAATCCACTTATGCCGCTCCAGCCAATAGAAAATAGGAGCACCGCCAATATCCGTCTCATTACGTATGAGAGCACCAATCATGCCATCATATCGCCCGTTCTTTAAATAGCCCCAGCTGCTGGTTTTCGAGAGAACAAACGTCCAGTTGAACATATCGCGGACGACCATAAGCAGATTGAAATTGAAGCGATTCATCGTATCCATATAGCCCGACGTGTGCGTCAAATAGTGGAGCAGTGAGCCCGTCATATTCTTGTCCGTCACCTGTCAATGAGTGTGGCACACACGACGACAGCAGGTCAAACTTATCCCTCTCTCTCTTCCCCAATTAATACCTACCACAGCCATGCAACGCACTTGGGCATGCTTCATATCAAGACGTCGCAGCAGCGTTGATGTTGTGCGAAACCAGCTCTGTAGCTGCATCCCGTCTGTCAATGTAAAGTTGCCAATTTTCGTTATGTTGACATCGCCGCCATAGTTACGGCCAGGACTCCTGAAATATTGAAATTTGACAGGCTTCAAATTATTCATGATTAACCGCGACTGGACTGAGTAGAGCTATGCACTTGAGATTAGTCACTTTAAAACTTACCCTGGTCATAGCTAAACCTTATATGATAAATATAGAAGTCAAGCTATGTTTCCAATTGCATCGGAATTGAAAACGAGATTTTGCTATTTACATAACAAATATACGATTCAAAATTGTTTGAAATAAGCTAAGGCGTTGTATATTTTTCCATCAATATTATTGATTCACACTGACACTGACTGCATCCAATGCTCCCAAAACCCACTGTCACTAGCAACAAGTAAGTTGCAAAAACTATCTCTGACAGCTGTCTCTAGCAGAGGAAAATATACTCAGCCCACTCCATGTTGCACAGTACATACCACACATCGTACAGTAAATAACTGGCATCTTGAGGCGCTCTCTTTGCCAGTGTCAGTTCGGTGTTCATGTAGAAGTTCAGGGTCTCCATTAAGTTCTCAATGGGCTGCAGTTCGTCCGTTTCCCTATTTCCATCCGTAGCCATAGCCGTATCCGTCAGATGCAGTTGCTGTTGCTGCTGCTGCTGTTCCCTCTGCCTGACGCCCGCACCAACGTGCAGCGTGTAATCCTCAATCAATAGCCAGTGATATTTATCATTGTAGAGCATCTTGCCAGAAGCCTTACAAATAGCAAGTTGCAGGCAGACTGAGCACTCAATATGCATAAGGACGTTCCACTTACCAGCTCCAGGAAACGACGACTTAGCATGCCGCACGCCAAATCCACGACCACAATTTGCCTCAGCGCTTCCATCGTCAGCACGCTGTCCAACCACTCGGCGTTATTCGCAGCCATACTTGAACCCATCCCGGATCTGCCACCCTGGCCCCTGACTTTGCGCAACTGGCTGCCGCTCACCTGACGCAGCACATCCAACAGCACAATCCGCACAAATGGTTGCTGCAGCAGCAGCACATCGCCATCCCCGTTGTAGTTCTGGTAGGTGAGGCGACCAATCAGCTCAAAATTCTTGGCATTGAATGCCTCGCGCAGTTGGTTCAGTTTGGCGCGACTGGCGCTCATATTGCCCGTGTCATTGTTGGCTGGATTGCTGCAGGTGAAGTACGTTAACCTTGGTATTTGTTTGTGCCCCACAGCGAACTCTAATATCAGGCGGCTCTGCAGCAGCGCTGTGGTGCGTGGCTCCAGCCACACTTTCGCTCCGACAAGGCTAGCAAAAAGCAGAACTGGCGGCCAGCCACACATGATTTCAAATGACGCTTTCATTACCGTTCTGCGGCTTTATACGAATCCATCCATAAGTACAACTACTCAATTATGAATCAATAACGCGACTGCAGTCAAATCTTTGGCAACGTTTAATGTCAGTCATAGCAATCGGACACAGGAATTTCCCTTTGCTTGTCAGCTGAAACTGACTCATTATTCAATTTCGATTCAATTAGCTTTCATAATTCATGGCCCAGCCATAAATATGCATGTGGATACGTATGAATGTCAGTCCCTTTGCGGATTATTCACTTCCTGTGTGTGGGTGTTTGTGCGTGTGTGTGTGCGAGTGTTTTTGTGTTTGTCCTTGGAGTATTCACTTGGTTTGCAGTTTGCTGCGCCCATGTCACAAATTTTGACAGTTTGTCACTTTAATTGAATTTCTATCAAAAGTTCTTAGAGAAACTTTATTGCATGGGCTATTATAACAATATTTTATTAGAAGTTACACAACTTTTGCTTAAGATATGACAGCTGAAAATTGTAAGCATTTGAAATATTTAAATATACGAAATTCACCAAGACTGTCTTTTATCTCAATATCGATAAGTTTCTATTCAGTTTTAAAGGATTCTCAACGATGTCCAGCTATGTTTTAATTAAAAATCAAATATATATAATAACAGCAAAATAAACGCACAGGTTCTCTAATCGCTGACCTTATAACATATTAAAATTGATGGCTTTTTGGGCAATCTCATTCATTTTTGTATTTCCTGCTTTTAAATTTTTCCTTTTACATTTTCATTGCCATTATTTAATTCCATTTTTGTGTTCAAGTTATGTTTAGGTCCAATTTGTGAGCTTAAAGCAAAGCAAGGCAACAGCCAGCGGTGTCCACCGACTTGGCCACAAACTCATATTTCCTTATTATCTGCGCTGGGCCATCCTCATAATGCCGAGGAAAGAAATACGAAAAAAAAAAAACTGAAATGGAATTATTAATGGCACTGTCCATTTGCTGCTAAGTGGCGCAAATTACATTTTTGTTTATTTTGCTTGAGGTTTAACGCTGTTGTTTTATTTTTATATATACAGATATACAGTTTTTTTTTTAGTTTACCAAGTTGACTTCTTGGCCCTTAGGGGCGTCGGTGCTTTAGCTGCTTGTCTTGTTTTTTTTTTTTAATTTTATTTCGTGCAGCCCCAAGTGTATTAGGTATGGCTTTTTGGCGTTCGCTGAAATCCTTAATTGTTCTTGGCAGCAAACGGAGCGCGAAGACTTTGCGTTTGGAAAGCGCGTCGAAGCGCATCGCTTTAATGGCTACACAATGCTTCAATACCTTTTTGCCGTTATTTATTGGCCCCATCGCTAACCAACCACCCACCAACCACCCACCTACCCACCATATCGTGTATGTGAGCGAGCACACTTTGCGTATGTGTAATATTCTGCTTGTAAGCGGATTTGAAGTCATTTAGCAAAACTTTCAGAAAGTTGTGAATATGCCTCAAAAAGTACGGGGCCAGAACTACAGCCAGAAACTTAGTGATGTTGCAATTATAAACTAAATATTCTTGCGTATGCATGAGGTTTCTCAAAATTTTGTTTTGGTTTTAGGGCACAACATTCAGAGCAAATAACTATAACTAAACTGCCACTAATGAGTGGTAAAGTGCACATTTGCAAGCGAGCAACGAGCAGTCAACCAATAAAAACTGATGGTAACAGCAACAAACGACAATTTACACACAAAAAACATGCTCAGCAAAGAAAACTTTTCATAAAGGCAAGCTACTTATACCCTGGAAAAAGGTATTATAAACATTGAGGGCAACAACTTTGGCTCTATTAAATGTACATATTCTTGATTAAAATAAGCCGGATCGTATCACTATATTGTTTTCAAAGATATCTACAGAAAACTCTTAAGGCAGAAATTAATAAATTTCAGACTAAAATCGGTAAATTGTTGTCATAGAAGCCATTGATGGTTGTTTCAAATTATTATAGAAACTAAACAGAACAGATTAACGCTGTAAGGGTATGTAGTCTTCAGAATGCCAATTTGATTTCATGATTTCTTTTCGGCTATTCAGCTATCTCGTTCCCTCACTTTTTGTGCCTGGCATATTGGCCTTAGTGAAGTGTCAACGGCAGTTGCAACTGTCGTCGCTTTTGGGCTTGCTTTATGTACCTCGTTACTGCGGCTAAAAGTCGAGCCAAGTGCAGGACTAAGCCACAACAAAGCCGTGCAAAAGCGCAAAATGAACAAGCGCAGAAAGGCAGCGGCACAAAGCAAAAGAGGGGAGACGACGTGACAAAGGGAAGGTTGGGAAGCGACAACGAGGGACTTGTTGGTGGCTAAAAGTGCCAAACGACATTTGCATGCAAATGATGCAGGCAGTCAAGTGGCAAGTGGAAAGTGGAAAGTGGCAATGGAACCTACTCCCAATACTCCTCGGTACTGCAATTGCCCGGACTTGTAGCGTATTGGCGACGAACGAGCACAGGCAGTTGAACTTGCTTCGTGCTAATGAGATCAGCATGCAAATGACCAATGGCAGTGTCACAACTGCAGCTGGCCAAGTCAATGGGACGAGGGCTAAGAGTCGGCTGACTCTCAGTATGCCAATCTGGATTGCAATGAAAGTAAGCCATTATTGCTGCACATTATACAGTTGTTACTTTATAGCCGTAAGTGACTTACAGCATTCATCAGCATCAGTCGACCATATTACGGCAAAAGCCACATTAATCAGCTCACGGCTCACGGCTCACGGCTCACAGCTCTTGCGCTAAGTAAAGGGCCAAAAGTGCCAGTCTGCCACACTGATGATGATTTCATTTTATGTTTAGCAAAAATGTTTGCATCCAAGGCAGAGACTGAACACGGCCAATGGTAATTTTTCCAGCTGAGCTGCGCTGATTCGAAAGCAGCTAAGACCCTCAGCTGAATTTCAGCTATATTATGTGTGCTGCACGTATTATATTCGGGCCAAATGGTAGCAGGTAACGCAGTTAACCAATGCTTACATAGTTCACTGAGAAAGGACTCTCAAAATGATCACATCAATCAGCGCAGCTTGCAAGACGGCAACGAGATTGCCTAGCTTAAAATATGATTGTCATAATATTAATATGAATAATTACAATCGTCCTGGCTGCTACTAGTGCTCCTAAATTAACAGTAGGCTAAGAATCAAATGTATGCTTCAATTTGTGATCAAAAGAAATCGCTTTGTGGCATATTTTCACTGTTATTCAAGGACATTATGTCCACCAGTAACGGGTCGGATTGATTGAATAAGAGGGGCAACGAAGCAAGCAGGCGTTTGCTGTTAAGCCAACTTCTTAATGAGAGACATTTGAAGCCGGATTTTTCACATTCTCTGGCCAAGTTTTTACCTTCGGCTTACTCATCTTTTGTGCATTAATAAAGTCGACTGTCATGTGGCATTTTTCATCATTATGCGGATTCCGCAAGTTGACAAATTTTTAGTGACATATTCTTATGCTTGTGGCAGCAAGCAAGTAGACGAGTAGAATAGCGCTGAGCGCTCGGCTTTTATCCTTGAAATAAATTTGCATTTTTCAAGATATTCTGCGTAAGTAAAAACACAGTTGAGTGACAGTTGTGGCATTTGTTTTAGAACACAGTCAAATAAAACCCAGAAAATGTTATAAATTATTTCGCTTTTCTTCGGCCTTGCGTCAGGTAGTGAGGAATTCTATATATATATTTATTTTAACAAAAAATATTGTATTAATTATGTAGGAATCGTGATATTTAAGTTTTGTGCTATATATTTTCAATATCATATTCGATGGCATTTTTCGTTATATTGGTATTCTTCAGTTAATTCACGGCTCAAGCAAATCTGCAGCTATAACACTGTCTTCCCCAATCCTTTGGCTTCGCCCATTAAATCCTTAACGCGAGCAAGTCATAACTTAAATACCATAAAATAAATCGCACTCAAATCTCTTTGCCACTTTCCTATGCCCTGACGCCTTTCTTTCAGCCACTTGGCTGCTCAGCAAAAGTTGCGACGTCAACTGAAAAGACGCACTGAGTGCATTTTGTTGATTTATAATAAAAAATAATGTTAAAACATATTACAATATAATGAATGCGCGCAACGGGGTAGCTGCATCGTCAGATATAAAAATATAAGTAAGGCAGAAACATATATTGGGTTAAGGGTGGAGTGGAGAGGAAGCACTGCAAACAGCGCCGTAAACAACTTTCGAGTGAAATAATAAAATGCGCTTTTTATGCATTTCTCTTGCGTGGCAGACAGAGAAAGAGAGAAGAGAGACAGAGAGAGAAGAGAGAGAGAGAGCGCGCTGACACGCTTCTTGCCTCGCACCGCACCTTTGCATTATGCGTGTTATGTAATAGTTAGTCTAGTGGGCTAACCTGCGACCCAACTAGCTGCATGCTTGCCATTATTAAGGCAAGCTGTCGTAACGTCCTGGCAACTTTGCAGCATATTTCAACGGTATGGCAAAAATGTGAAAAACTTTCGCTCGCTGCACTCAAGCAAAAACAACAAGAACTGCAAACAGCTACAAAAACAACATCCAAAATGGTAGCCACAATATCTAAAGAATAACATGAATAACCTAAACATG